TGTATACAACATTTTTTGATATCTTGAATAGTTTTCCAGATATAACGAAAGAAAAAAAGAATTAATTTACATATAAGGAGTGGATTCATCCCTTTAAACCGTTTTTTAGCACCAACTTATAGAGATAATTTCTAAATTCATCTATTTATGTGACCTCAAAGTGTACCAAGTTTCATTAAAATCAGAATTTGACACTTCGCAAGGTTCCCTGTCAGTTTTTCGCTGAGTGGACCTACTGATTATATTGTGATAGTAGTGGCTTGGTGTTATTGATCAAGATATACATATATGATACAACTAACTTAAACAATACAGCTACGTTTAATAAATGTTTGAAAAACGTTTAGCTGATACGTTTTTAAAACCGTCGAAATGTCTCGTACAAAAATGGTATTATAAAACTAGTATAAACGTTTATTTAGAACTGATAACAATTAATTCCAATTATTCTAAAATAAATCTTATTAATTATCATTACATTCCAGAGAAAAAGAGAGAATACACATGACAAAATTATGATTAAAAAACACATTGTTTATTTTAATCATAATTTTGTCATGTGTATTCTCTGGAATGTAATGATTATCAATAATATTTATTTTAGAACTGGAATTAACTGCTATAATTACTATCAGTTCTAAATAAACATTTTTACTAGTTTTATAATATCGTTTTTGTACGAGACATTTCGACGGTTTTAAAAACGTAACTGAATGTTTTTTAAACATTTGTTAAACGTAGCTGTGTTGTTTGGGTTAGTCGTATCATCTTGATCAATATATTTTGTACGACATATTTCAACGGTTTTAAAAATGTATCGGCTAAACGTTTTTTAAACATTTATTAAACGTAACTGTGTTGCTTGGGTAAAAATGTACACATAGTTGCAAAGTGCAAGTATTCGCTGCCCGTGCAACGTATGTTTTTCGGGGCGTGCTGGCTTCCTCACGAAGCCAGTCAAATTTTAAAGAGGTCAAACTTTTTCGAAAAATCAGAACAAACCCGGTAAAAGGGAGAGATAGTGACGAATCGTTTCTTTATCGCATGTGTGACATATTCTCACAGTCGGTTGGAACAAAGGCGTTAATTAGGAGAATGTGGAACGATGCGTACGTGACCTATGATCGCCCCCAAATCCAAATTGCGTCATTTCGTTTCCGGAAAGAAACTATAAACTACGCAGTTTATCAAGTGAGACTATTCCCTCCTTCCCTTTTTTTGAATTTGCTTTCACGGCCAATGTATGCTCAAGATAAAGAAGCATCTTGTGAAGCATTGCGTCCGCATGAGATAAAGAGGTAAGTATATTCTATGAAGCGTTTCGTACGGCGCATTACCACGCGATAATATATAGATATATAATCTTCTATTTCCAGTCCGTTTCTTTTTTCGGCAAGCGTAAGAATGATCAAATTTTTATAAGCAACAAATTATAGGTATTAGATTAGAGATTTGGTAAGAATTACGAGGATAGATTAAAAAACTACAGATAGAAACTTACATTAAAGATAGAATTATATCAATGATATTCTATTAAGGATCGAATATCCTTTGAAGAAAGTTTTAAATGAAAACACAATAGTGTCAAACATTCTCAAAGGATAGGCATAACTTTGACCCCCTATATTTACGCAAACCAGTCATATGCTCAACTCAAAAATTTTATGCGATTATTGTCTCGTCATGACTAATCA